TGGCAGGATGGTATAATGTTGCTCATATAGTCAATTTTGTTTGTGGCCATCTTCCTACAGCACTATTTAATACTCATCATAAAAAGAAGCCTGCTTTCCTTTCTGTGGTGCTATTAGGTGGCTCTTCTCAGAAAACATGACTTTTCTTTTTTTAACTGAAGTATAGTTGAATTTCCATTGTTTGTTTCTAGTGTACAGCACAGTGATTCAGTTTTTCGTATATACATATATAATATTCTTTTTCAGATTATTTTCCATTATAGTTTATTACAAGATACTGAATATATTTCCCTGTGCTATACAGTAGGGCATTACTGAAACATGACTGTTCTTATTGCTGCTCATCAATGCCTTATTTGAGAAATAGAATTTATAGTATGTGTGGCATAGGCTTGCTGGAACAAATATACTACAGTTCTAAATCTTTTAGCAAATTAAAGTGATTTTTTAAATATGACTGATTTTGATTTCATAGTTAATCTTCCCTGGCTTTGTTAACAGATCTGCTTCTGGGTGAAAAACCTGCAAACTTTGAAATATGCCTGGGTTCAAGTGCTAGCTTTCCCCTTGCTGGCTGGGGGACTTAAGGCAGATTGCTTAACTTTGCTGATCCTATTTCCTCAGCTGTATGCAAAATGGGGATGACAACAGTACACATTTGTTAGCGTTGTAAAGATTAAATGTGAAAACATGTAAACATGTTTACATTGTGTCTGACATGTGGAGTACGCACAGGTCACACTTTCACTGCGGGGATGTTAAGAGTTGAAATTATGCCTGCAAAGTACTTAGCACACTGATGACACCTCAAGAAGCGCTCAAGGATAGCTATTACTGTGCTGGTTGTTTTAAAGTACAGTGCAAATGCCAAGTGTTTGAATTGTATCTTTTCTTCAGCCAGGGAGACAGAGAGTCACACAGAAGCACAAGAACCTGCCAGACCAGGGCAGGTCTGAGACCGCTGACAAAGGAAACGATCAGCCGGAGAGGCCTGGACCGAGGCAAACTGCTCCCAGAAACAGGCGAATGCTCCGCAGACACACAGTCGACGATACAGTTGTACCCAAGGGCCCAGAGACTGCTGGCAATCTGAGCACTCCCCAAGAGGCTAGCATTTCCCAGTCTTAACAGTAATAAGGAGGCATTATCTACTGCCAAGAAGCAAGTCCTCAACAAGAAGATGCTGCTCATGAATACAACTTAGCACTAAATGAAATTTGTTTGGCTTGAGAGAAAAGCAGAAAGGTCCTGAAAGCTTTTCTGTGGCTGACAGAAAGAACACAACAGAAGGTCATCACTATCTCATTCCTCTTCAGAGGTAATGAATACACTTGAAAAGGGATGGACAAAAATTCCAGTGGTGTCCAGATCTTTAAGACGTTTAAGTATTTGGGTTCCTGGGTTACAGTGAGAGGTTTCATCACCAGATTCTGACCTCCTTCTACTGAAAGGTGCTAAACCTTTGTGATGTGTATGAACTAGCAAACCCACAGGCTAAATGAACTCCTCCCTCTGGGATAAGCTCAAGAGAAGCAATTTAGGTTTCACTGTACTGTGGAGGCTGGGCAGAAATATGGCATTTGAATAAAGAAAACAGGGCTGAAAAATGCCCCCTTTAAGCAACACTTGAACCCAAAGATGCCTAAATGCCATTTTGATTGCTCATTTTAGTTCAAAGGACACATATGACATGTTCTACACTATGTATGTGGGGAAAGCTGGGTATACTTTTTCTTCCAACAGAGTACAGATAATTGACCACTGCACTTATACACCTGTAGCAGTGTCTCAAGAAACATCCCTTACCATTAAGAGCCCCCCTAAACATCACACCGGATGGATGGTTACTTAATTGGAGAGTAGACTTGGCACATCTTCTCTTAGTCTTTTGATTCAGATTCAAAACTTACAGCACAAACCAGGTCAAAGTAACTTTACGTTAGAATTTATTGCCATTTATTCCTTTTTATAAATTTCTATAGATTATATTTCTTATTTTTTTATGTTACTAATTAGTCTAGAGCTGCAAACATGGGTTTGTCCGGAGTACATTTTCAAATAACTTTGTAATAGGAAAATGGTTTTGTGCACGTTCTTGGAAATACTTGTGTATGTACAGAAGGGAGGGGCTGATTATTTTTCTATAAAGTAATTTATGATTTTTAATTTTCTAATGTGCCTTGGATATGTGCCAAATGATGGGAAAGAAACAGTAAACTTTATGATTCTTGAGTGTGTCATGGTGTACTTTTTTTAGTCTGTTCTCCCATGGTGGTATGTTTCTCAGCCTTGCTGCTACAAACATGTGCTTGGTATGTGGAATCATCTTCTCCCACTGGATAGACAGACATTTTATTTTTCATCTAGAGATAGAAGTGTGACTGAAACGTGTGAACTGGGTTATTTGGAGCAGATTATCCAGGGCTGCTGACCTAGTCCAGTCAGCACAGTGCCTAGGGCCCCCACAAAGGTATTTTCATTTCTTTTAGCATCAGAAGAACAAACTGAATATAATACAGCTACTTAGCCCAAACAGCAAATAAGCACGGTTGCTTTTAAAGTTTCTTCTATTTTTCCTCCTCAGCCCCACTTTTAAACAAAACCACCTTATTGGCTTAAGTTGCTGTGCTTTTCTAGCATCCTGGTTAAGAGACTTGGCACTGCAGTTTTTTAGCACAGTCCTGTCCAAGATACAGTACATACATTTTAAACCACCTAATTTTGGGGGTGGTACAATAGTTTTGAAAACCTACCGTGAACCTATTTGCAGGGCAGGAAGAGAGATGCAGGTGTAAAAGAATGGACTTGTAGACCTGGCACAGGGGGAGAGGCTGGGACTAATTGGGAGGGTAGTGCTGATATATGCACTACTGTGTGTAAAATATATATACCTAGTGGGAAGCTGCTCAGCTCAGTAATGACCTAGAGAGCTGAGGGGGGCCGCGGGAGAGCGCCTCACGAGGGAGGAGATATATGTACACATACAGTTGATTCGCTTTGTTGTGTAGCATAAAGACAACACTGTAAAGCACCCATACTGTGATTAAAAAAAAAAAAAAAGAAATATTAAAAAAGCCAAACTTTCACATATACCCTCCATCATTCTAATAACTGCCCTAGCTGGTAGGAATGTCAAGTGAGGAGGTTTACGGAAGTAAGGGGGCTAATTTGCTTACATGGTCAGAGCTGGGGTCAGGGCCCAGCTGGCAGAGGCACCTGTTTCCAGCTGGGTGTGCCCTTCACCTGGAAACAGAAATACCATGAAGGGGACTCTCAGTCCTGGGGGACAAGTTTCCTCTCGAGCTATTCTGGTAACCAGCAGGGTGAGCAATCTGAAGCAATACCTCAATTATTTTCAAAAACACATGTGTTTCTAATTACTTTCTCAATTAAAACTAAAATTTGGAGCCATGATGTATCACTGAGCTCCAAGTCATTTTTAGTGTTGGGAAGTGTTTTTCTTTATACAACAAGATTGTCCATTATATTGATTGAGAGGAGAAAATGTTACCCTGGGGAAATTATTGGGTGGGCCTTGATTTTGGAGAGTTTCTATATTCCAAGGATACAATAAAATTTTAAATTGTATTTGAAGGAGTTAATAATTTAAGAATACATAAAAATAAATAAATAAATAAAACTAAATTTGACAATTCAGAAATTGGTAATGACAAAATTCCTATTTTTGTAGGAGAATGTTTTGAATTCAGAGTATTGTCAGTTAGATCAGAAAGGTGAGAATAACCAGCCCCCACCCCCCAATGTCATCAAGAATTTCTGTCCTCAGTCACTGCATTCTCGAGTGTCTCTGAATGAGGGGAGGTTTACAGTCCTTCAACACACTGACCTCAACAGCTGCCGTGACAGTGGTTATTTTGTAAGAGAAAGCATGTAGCAGACTTGCTCAGAGCTGTCTAGTCTCCCAGTGTTTCTATGTAAAATTTACCTGTTAACTGGGGTTATTTTTCAAACCCCTTGATCAGATTTTACTGTGGTGATTTACTCTTCCTCTGAGCTCTTTCTGACGTCCTTAGTGGCTCTACTCATTTGTTTACTCAGGAATACTAGACTATATTCTAACACTGACTTCACTAAATTTTAAGTCTGAAATATTATAAAATCTCAAGTATAATTTAGAAATATATCAGCAGTGTGTATATCTCTAGCTAGAGCCTGGGACTATAAATCACATTTTCCATCACTTTTCCTGCTATTAATCCTACTGAGCTCATTAAATGTTATGCACTTCCTCTGGAGCTGGGACCCCCAGGACTAAGATAAAAGTTACACCGAACAGCTCACTTGAGAGTCAAGTTTATGATTTTAAGTTACAAGCACCGTTTTTCATAACCTGGTGGGAATAAAGGACAAAAGATGACACTTGCTTTAAGTTACCTGCAACCCTATCAGTGAAGACCCAGAACATTTCTGCCACAATGGTGAACTGCTAAACTGTCTCAACTAGACTTTAATCATTAAAAATCATTTCTCTTAAAAACATGTTTACTAGGGTTTAAGTATTATTACCAGTATGTCTCAATTATTTTGTTAATTTTTTTCCAATGGACATATCCTCCAGTTACAGAGGTGGTAAGGGTAATATTTGTTAGATGAGTTAATCTCAATGCTTTGAAAACAGATTATAAATGAAATCAAAGTTAGAAATTTTCCTATATTAAATGTAAGGACTATCTGCAGGAAGAAAAAGGTCTTACCTGCTTTCAGAACCTATGTCTTGGAAATACTAAAACTACTCAGCTTAATCCATGAGTCTTAACACCTATGATGTGACAGACGCTGCTATTTTCTTTCACTGAAGATGCTGGAGCAGCTCCTACTTCTGCTAAGGTCATTTTCCCACTTAACACTAATGTCACAAGTATGAAGGATATATTCATGCTGCTACACATGTTCAAAAGCTTTTGATAGGAAAGGACAAAAATCTAAAAATGCAGATCTTCTGCTCATTTCTCTACGGCAGAAAAACTTTGTCCAAATTGTTCTAGTTTGCATAACAAGTTTATTTTTAAAAGGTATATAGACAATAAACAAAGTAAACACACCACAGATCTTAACGTCTGCCAAGTATTATCTGTCCTAGAGTTATTTCGTTAAGTTCCAGTCTCTAGACAAATTCAGTAATCGTCATCTTCATCAGAGTCCATTACTTTTCTTCTGTTGAACTGGGGGGAAATTAAATAAGTATCATGTTTCATAAAACATAACTCAGATTTTCTGAGAAAACAAATTCCTACCTACTACAGAAAAGACATTTCTGTGTTTAAAATAACTTAAGTGTTTTAGACCAACAGAAGAGGCTTGAAAATCAGACCTTCAATGTATGCAACTTTCTCCCCAAACTTCCCTGTGTTGTCAAACAAAAACATCTATGGGCTAAAATGTTTGACACGCTACATGCAGATGTAACACTTATTTAAAATATCAATCTTTCTTTTGTTGTATGCTTTGGGGGAAACTTACTTTAACTGTTGTTTTCTTTTCTGTTTGTTGGCTTACTTTTTCGAGGATTTCTATTAAACCTTGTTCTGATACCTAGATAATCAAAGAGAAAAACAGCACTTTTTTAAAACAAAGAATTGACCTTAGCCGACTGAACCGTTTCAATCCTTCCAGGGTGTGGAGGTAGAGGTCACGAAGGAAGCAGAATGGGACAGCTGGCTGAAACCACTGCTATAATTCTCGGTTTAAGTTGCACTTAAAATCTGCTCTGCTGGTCTTCATTTGAGGGAGGAAAAGTATCCATCAGTTAGCTTCCTCGAAAAATCCAAGGTTAACAGCTATTTAAGAACCCCTTCATTACACTAGCAGACAATGACAACCACCTACATCACTGTGTTAAGTGAAAGGGACAGATACTCCGCCTCTGCACCGAGACCTTGAGAAGCTGAAAGCAGGAGATGAGTCACTCAAAAAAATGAAGCCGCTGTCACCCGTCCACACACGTTCTCAGTGTAAAGGGTTCAGGGCAGGTTGATTTCTGCAGGCTGTGGTGGTGGCAGAGGGCTCCCCAGGATCTTGAAAGAAGAGCAGGGTTGCCAGAAAATATCCTCCATGGCAATACAACAATGCACAGAATAACCAGGAAATTTAGCACTTCTTCATTTGCAAAACAAGCATAACTTTCCCAATTTTAATTAGTATTGCTGACAAACCTTGTTTCCACTGTAGAAGCAATTTAGGCTATCTGACCCTAATAGTCACTGGTTCCAGAGTGATGTCAGAAAAGGAAAGCAGCAGAGGATTTTAGAAAAGAGAGTATCTTTTAGGATCTACGGTAGACACAACTATTCTCTCCTTTAAAAACTGCTTCAACAAGAATTCTGTAACCAGAAAGAGATGAAACTGACCTTCTGAGGATACATTTTGATAAAGTAGGTAACAACAGATTAAAACTGCCTCAAGCTTACCTTCCCACTTAGTTGTCCATACCGTGCCATCTGTATAAGGTAATTCTCTACCGCTTTAGTTTTCTCAGGCTTTACAAGTGCTAAGTTACTTACTAAAAAGAAGAAAGAAACAAAAATTAATATATATATATATATACACACACACACAAACATGCACAAAAAGAAGTCAGAACTAAATGCACTTGACTAAATGCACTTATTCCTTGAGACTAAATAGTAACATTTCTAAAGCACTTAAGACTTATTCATGTCTTGAGACCAGCAAGGTAGATAAGGCAGATGCTATTGTTACTCTTAAAAATGAGGAAACTACAGTTCAGCTTTGTCAACCTTAGTCAAGACCACAGAGAGGTAGTGGTGAACCAAGATTAAACTCGGGGACTCAGATTCTAAGCTCCATGCTTTAAAAACAAAGCAAAACCATGACTGTTCCATGAAGAGCAACTTCTATATTGCAGGCATGCATGCTAAGTCGCTTCAGTCATGTCCAACTCTTTGCGACCCCATGGACTCAGGCTCCCCTGTCCATGGGATTCTCCAGGCAAGAATACTGGAGTGGGCTGCCATTTCCTCCTCCAGGGGATTTTCCTGACCCAGGGATCAAACCTGCATTTCCTGTGGATCCCGCATTGCAGGCGGATTCTTTACCGCTTGAGCCACCAGGGAAACCCATTGCAGGCGGATTCTTTACCGCTTGAGCCACCAGGGAAACCCTCAAAAAAGCAACCCGTCCTTGTGAATTTCTGTATTACTATGCATATATAATCATGGTGAGCCACCCAGGGCTGCCTCTTCTAAGCTGGGCTTCAAGTTATAATACAGAAGATAATGTTTCATTCTGATCGGCTCATTTAACTTTTTTTCTTACGGTTTTCTTTTTATTTTTTGTGATGAAAAACACAACACAAATGGAGAATACAGGTATACTTCATTTTACTGAGCTTCATAGATACAGCAGTTTCCACAAATGGAGGTCTGTGGCATCCTACATCCCTGCTTTGAGCAAGTCTACTGGCACTGTTTTCCTGACAGTATGTGCTCACTTCATGTCTTTGTGTCACATTTGGTAATTTTCACAACATTTCAAACTTCCTATTGTTATTCTTATATATATTATGGTGATCTGTAATCAATGATCTTTGATGTTATTATTGAAAAACAAAAATTGTGACTTGCTGAGGACTCAGATGATGATTAGCATTTTTTAGCAATAAGGTATTTTTAAATTAAGGTATGTATACTTTTTTTTTTTTAAAGACATAATGCTATTGAACTTAACAGACTATAAAACTTTTATATGCACTGGAAAGCCAAAAAATTTGCTTACTGTGGTGGTCTGCAACCAAAGCCAAAATATCTCCACGATCTGCCTGGACAATAAACCAGAGCCCCCATCACAGCAGTATTTTGTTACTGACTTGATTGAAGAGTTATTTCCAATAAATTTTACCAAATACAGTCATCCCTTGGAATCTGAAAGGACTGGTTCTAGGACTCCCTGCAGATGCCAAAATCTGAAGATGCTCAGGTCTCTTATATAAAATGGTGTACTACCATCAGTCCTCTGTATCTGTGGGTTCTGACTCTATAAAAATGGAGGGCTCACTACACGCACTTGGAGATCATTTCAATAGCAGGAGAGAATGGAGCTGGAACTTTTAATAACAACTTAAGTATGTTTCTTTAGGTTTATAAACCTAACACTTCTTACAAATAATCTGTATCTCACATGCTTTTAGGTTAAACAAGTATTTAATCTAGAGACAGCAATTATTTCATATACATCTCCCTATTCAAATAACTCAAGCCAGTTTTATAAAGAAAGCTGAAGATGCTTACACCTGGCCCGGGCTGACTGATCCAGAACTTGGGCTAAGATACTGTTTCTCATTTCTGCTTCCCTACAACAAAAACAGGACAAGCAAAATTAGAATCAAGCTGCCAGCATTCCTACTAAACACAGAAAGATACAACAAGTCCATTCTTACTCAAAAGCCAGTTTTATATTTTGTGAGTTTCAAAGATAAAACTTCACAGTTTCCCAATTCAGAAGGGAGTTTCAGTTCAACCACCATTATAGACATTTATTAAGTACCCAGTGTGTGAGAAGGGCTAGAAATTAGTAGTGAGATTTCAGGCAAATACACAGACAAATGATTAATCCGTGTAATTTTCTTAGAGATAAAGAAGCTGAGGTTCATGGAGACCATGTTAAGGAGACACAGGTAACTGTGGCCAAGGTATGAACAGATTCCACGTTTTAAGATTCTCAGTTCTAGTTTTGGGTTGGGAGGGGAGTTACAATTACACCCGTTTCTATCCTTGGACCTTCCCACCTATCCAGGCAGGAACTACTTAGTATTCACAGGACAGTGATTTCAGATTTTTTTTAAAGCAGATAGTTTTTCAAATGAAGCCCTTCAAGGAACTTAATATGAACTTAACACAGAAAAAAGCAGAGATTCTTTGGCTGAATTATAAAGCTGAATCCTCTGTACAAGGGAAACAAGAAATAAAACACTATGCAGAAAGTAAAGTGTGCATTCATCAATCTCAGCCCTGAGAGGAGAAAGAAAAAAAGTGTCTCTTGACTTCAAGTTTTAGCCTTGTAGGTTTGCTGTCTGAATTCCTTCTGGTAGCAGGGTAGAGGCAGGGAAAGAACATCAAGCAGAGAATTGTAAGAGGTCTAAGGTTAGAAAAGCCTTCGACTGTGTTGGTCACAATNTTGGAGAAGACTCTTGAGAGTCCCTTGGACTGCAAGGAGATCCAACCAGTCCATCCTAAAGGAGATCAGTCCTGGGTGTTCATTGGAAGGACTGATGCTGAAGCTGAAACTCCAATACTTTGGTCACTTCATGTGAAGAGTTGACTCATTAGAAAAGACCCTGATGCTAGGAGGGATTGGCGGCAGGAGGAGAAGGGGATGACAGAGGATGAGATGGCTGGGTGGCATCACTGACTCGATAGGCATGAGTCTGAGTAAACTCCAGGAGTTGGTAATGGACGGGGGGCCTGGCATGCTGTGGTTCATGGGGTCGCAAAGAGTCGGACACGACTGAGCGACTGAACTGAACTGAAGGTTAGAAATGACCCAAGTGATGGCAGAAGTAAAGGAAAATCCTCTTTGGAAGAATCCAGAAGAAGAGTGATCAATTATGTGACATCTGAATTTCAGATATGTTAAAATGTGAAAAAAATTCACATCTTCAGAATCAGTGAAGTTCATGTAGTAGATTTATTTTCTTCTTAGCACTATCCCAGGTGCTTACCAATCTGTCTTTCCCTCTAACGTGAGCTACATAGAGAAGGGAAGGAACCGTCTCCATCTTGCATATTTCTATAGACACAGCACAATGCCTGACCCAGAGCAGGTGCTCAGTAAGTATTTGATGGATCAATCAATGAGTTAAAAGGTAGCATGGGGGACTGCCCTGGCAGCAGTCCAGTGGTTAAGACTCTGCACTTACTACGCAGGAGGCATGAGCTCCACCCCTGGTTGGGGAACTACAATCACACATGCTGTGTGTGTGCTGTGCCAGGCGAAAAATAAAAGGTAGCTTGGGGGCAGTGAGGGATAGGGAGTTGTTTAATAGGTATACTTCCAGTAAAAGTTTTAGATATGTGTTGTAAAGCAATGAGAATACAGTTAATACGACTGAATGATACACTCAGAAGTAGTTAAGAAGGTAAATTTTACCTTTTGTGTTTTTTACCAGTTAGGGAAAAAAGGTAGCATGATAGGGTAACTAATAAACCTGCCAAGTGTGAGGTACTCTGCCACATGATGAGATAAAATAACTTTGAGAATAGGAAAAACAGTTAATATTTCTTGTGCATATGTGCTCAGTCACTTCAGTCGCCTCCAACTCTTTGCGACCCTATGGACTGTAGCCTGCCAGGCTCCTCTGTCCATGGGATTGTTCAGGCAAGAATCCTGGAGTGGGCTGCATGCCCTCTGTATCCCTGCAATCCTCACAACACCCCTATGAGGTAGTCCTATTATTATGCTTATTTTAAGGTAATCACAGTTTAGCAGAGAAACATCAATCAGTAATTGCAATACAAAGTAGTAAATAGCGATGGGTCTGGAAAAATCCCTATGCCAGGAAGAACTTTAAGATTCACACACCTATGAATAGAACTAAAATTAAAAAGAAAAATAGGTGAAACCACCCTTCAAAGAATTCAGAGTTCCCACAGACATAGAGAACAGAGCAGGAGGTTAGTGGCAGAGCAGGAGGTGGGCAAAGTGGGTGAAGGCTGTCAAAAGTACAAACTTCCAGTTATAAATAAGCCATGGGATGTAATATGTAATATATAGAGTGGGTGGTGACTATACTTAAAGAGTACTGAATTGTATATAGTTAACAGTATTGAAAGTTGCTGAGAGTAAATCTTAAAAGTTCTGATCACAAGAAAAACAATTTTTCATTATGTGTGGTGATGGATGTTAACCACTTACTCTGGTAGTCACTTCACCATATAAACAAATAAGGAATCAGTATGCTGTACACCAGAGACTAATGTTGTCAATTATTTCTTAATTGAAAAAAAGTGGGNGGCTCTACATTCAAGAGTTCCAGCTCATACCTGTGCTTTGCTTCCTGTTGTGCTGCATCGCCAGGATCCTGAAAAAACAATTTTATCTTTTAGAAATTTCACAGAGAGGGAATAAAAAAAAGGAACTATTTTGTTTCTGGTACCTAACAGGCTCCTGTAGTGGTAGAGATGGGCTTACAAAATAATTAAAAGCTGGCCCTATAAGTTTCCACTCACTATAACGTTTTGATGAACTTCTAAAGTCTCAAGCTAATAGAATGTTTTAGAATACAAACAGGTGTTAGGGCGAAAAGTCCCTCTTATGAAACCGTATTTTACAAGATAAGAATAATTTCTGGAAAAGAAAATGTGCCACGGTATCGGGGACGCTGATGATCAAACAACGCTCCCTTCCAAGCTATCCGGCTCCATCCCTAACACTTCACTCCGGTTTTCCTCACAGCAGAGTCATTGGTTGGACTTTTCATCTACGGGGCTAGTGTTCATGCCTGGCTCTCCTCAGGACTGTCAACTCCGTCAGGGGATGTTCCCCGCTNTTCACTCCGGGTTTCCTCACAGCAGAGTCATTGGTTGGACTTTTCATCTACGGGGCTAGTGTTCATGCCTGGCTCTCCTCAGGACTGTCAACTCCGTCAGGGGATGTTCCCCGCTATACCCTCAGCACCTGGCACAGGGAAGACTCCTCAGAAGATGTCTGTTGACCCCTCGGGTCGAACCAACTGTATTCTAAACAACATTCGGCTGGAACAGTAGTCAAGTAGGCTAGGTCCATTAGCTAAGGGCACCGAGAGACCCGAGAAGCTGAGCATTCTGCTCTGGACCCAAGAAGGCCGGCCGGGTGAGACCGACCCCCGGCCGCCGACCGGCCCGCGCCCGACCAGCCCGGGGCAGCACGTGGTTCGCTGGTTGCCCGAGCCCCTACGCGACGGGCAGAGGGGCCGACTAGGCTCGGAGGCTACCAGAAGGCCGCCGCGGGCGGAGGCGGGGTCCTCGGCCCCGGGGCAGTGACGCCTGGAGCCTCCGCTGGGGGCCGCGCCCTCTACCTCGGGTGAGGGCGGCGCCCAGCAGGGGACGGGCTGGGCGGGTGTCGGGCTCGCTCACCCCGTGCTTCGCCTGCAGCTCGGCCAGCCTCTGCTTCCTCAGTGCCTCGAGCTCTTGCTCCGCCATGCTGCGGCCGTCCCGGGCGAGCAGCCGCAAACACGCTCCGACTGACTCCGAGGGAACGCCGGCAGTCCCTCTGCGCGCGCGCCGCCCTCCCCAGTGCGCAGGCGCCCGCAACGCCCAGGCATCACCAATCCAGCCCAGAGCCGCGCCGCCCGCCCCAGCCAGTGCCTGGGGAGAGGCCCGAATCCGCGATCGGATTCGGTGGTGGGAATCCGTGGTGGGACATAGTGCAGAACTGATGCGCCGACACTTCCAGAACTCGGTCCTTGCTCCCAGCTGCAAGCATGTCCTCAGCGGGCGTGGGCGCCGGCAGGGTTAAGATCCTGCTGTGTGTGGGAAAAGATAGTAACCTAGAAACAGGCTACCATCAACAACTATAACTGTAGGTAAAATTTGTTGAGCCTATAACGTGCTAGGCTCCTGTTATCTCCATTGGCGGATAAGGATCCGGGCGGTTAGATAGACTAAGTAGAATGATGGAAAATGTGCTGAAACTGGACGGCAGTGATGGTTGCACAATTTTGTTTTCCTCAGCCATCACCAGAGTTTTGTCTACTCCTTGGGTCTGACGAACTCGTCTTCTAGAAAACATTAAGCTAGCAGGCTAGATCCACGTGGGAATTTAGTTCCCCAACTAGGGATGGAACCCATGCCCCTTGCACTAGAAGCCCAAGTCTTTTTTTGTTGTTGTTGTTCATTTATTTTTATTAGTTGGAGGCTAATTACTTTACAATATTGTAGTGGTTTTTGCCATACATTGANTCATTGTGGTTTTGATTTGCATTTCTCTGATAATGAATGATGTTGAGCATCTTTTCATGTGTTTGTTAGCCATCTGTATGTCTTCTTTGGAGAAATGTCTGTTTAGTTCTTTGGCCCATTTTTTGATTGGGTCATTTATTTTTCTAGAATTGAGCTGCAGGAGTTGCTTGTATATTTTTGCGATTAATCCTTTGTCTGTTGAGAAGCCCGAGTCTTAATCACTGAACCCCTGATGAAGGCCCATAATTCTTAAATTTGTCCAAAAATGTTAAATTGTACACTGAAAATAGATTGAGGGCGGGACTGGAGTGAACAGAGACTCGCTGGTCATCCTGCATGGAGAAGCCAAGTTAAAATAAACCGGGAGGCTGAAGTTGGGAATCAGACAGGTCTGGCTTCCCTGATAGCTCAGTTGGTAAAGAATCCGCCTTCAATGCAGGGAACCCCGGTTTGATTCCTGGGTCTGGAAGATCCCCTGGAGAAGGGATAGGCTACCCACTCCAGTATTCTTGGGCTTCCCTTGTGGCTCAGCTGGTAAAGAATCCTCCTGCAGTGTGGGAGACCTGGGTTCAATCCCTGGGTTGGGAAGATCCCCTGGAGAAGGGAAAGGCTACTCACTCCGGTATTCTGGCCTGGAGAATTCCATGGACTGTATGGTCCATGGGGTCGCAAAGAGTCAGACACGACTGAGCAACTTTCACTTTCACTTTCTTTGCTCAGAGGTTGGTGCAGGAGCTATGAAATGTGGTGTGAACTGTGGGGACACTCCCAGCACACACAGAAACATGCTCACACACACACACACACACACGGCACACTCGGGCTGTCCTGGGGTGAATTCCTGGGCAGTAAGATTGTGCGCCTCGAGCCTGGAGACATTGGTTCCTGTTGGGGGGGTTGTCAGCTCCCTAACACTGTGCCATGCTTGTTTTCTCAGTTGTGGCTAAATATAATACATCATTTACCATTCTAACCAATTTTAAACGTACAGTTCAGTAGTGTTAAATACATTGACCTTGTACAATCTCTAGTATGCTTTTCATTTTGTAAAGCTGAAACTATGCCCTATAATTAACAACTCCCAATCCCCTCTTCCTCAAGACCTTGAACCATTTTACCTTCTACAAATTCTACAAATTTGCCTGTGACAGGTGTAAGGTGAGTGCAGAGAAAAACAGAGCGAGCAGGGCAGTCAGGCAAGAAAAGCAAATTTATTAAAGAGAAAAGAGAGGGTGACTGGCTCTTAAGGAGGGCCAGCGTTCTTCCTTTCCGACGGAGTCCTTCTTATACCTGACCAATGAAGAAATCCTCTGAAGGGATGGTCACTTAGCTGGGGGTCTGTAATCTGGTAGTCTTGAAGCTTTGGGAAGATAGGCCCCAGTGAAATAACAGGATGCTATTTGGGCAATTTGGTCAGTCTCACAAATCACTGTGATTTATTCCTTGTTTGTGAGGTCGACATAATGAGCCATCTTGTCGATGAGACCCTATGTGGGCCCTATCAACAGGTATCTCAATAAATGGAATCACACTATTTGTCCTTTTGTGACTAGCTTGTTTCACTTGGCATAATGTGTTCAAGGTTCATCCATGTTGTAACCTGTGTCAGAATTTTCTTCCTTTTTGAGAATGAATAATATTTCTCCATCCCTCCCTTCCTTTTCTTGAATATACTTTCTAATCCTTTTAGTATTTTGCTGGGTTTTTTTTCCCTAAGGAACTCAAAATTTATCAGTGTTGATTACTTTTTAATCTATTTTTATCTATTTCTATCTACTTTTAATATTTCCACTGTTATTTTCTTTTCAGTTCCTTCAGATGAACATTCTATATGTTCATTTTTCTTTTCAGTTCCTTCTGATGAACATTCTATATGTTCATTTTTATTCTTTCTTATTTAATAATGAAAACATTTAAGCAGTTAATTTACTTGTGAGTACATATAGACATATATAAAACTATATATATATACACACACAGTCTTATTTACATATCATAGTTATACATATCAGTAGTGTTATTTTTTCTCTATCATAATGTCTTAAAATGGTTTCCCATTTTGTAAAACCATGGTCAAAATAATATGGTTTTAAAAAGTCACTTATTTATGAGGTGACTAGCTATTCCTGACACACTCCTACCCAACACATTCTTAGTTCCTCAAAGGTAAATCTAGCTGACTCTGTAGTTATTCTATCATTTATTCTTTTATTAACTATGTATTGAGATAAAAAGAAAATCAGGTAGTGAGGACAGGGAGTGGTGTCAGGGAAGTGTTCATTGAGATGGTGACTTTTGAATAAGTACCTGAAGGAAGAGAGACAGAGTCACAAAGATATCATATGGAAGAGAATTCCAGGCAGAAGGAACAGAAATGCAAGGACCCTGAAGCTGGAGCCTGCAATGTTTAAGGAACTGCAGGAATACCTTTGAGGCTGAACTATGGGAATGGGGAGAAGGCAAATGTAGAATCATGAAATAAGTTAGGATATATATTCAAATAATATACCTATGCTGTTATGTCTTAATTTATATAATTTAGACATTTTTCTAATGTCTTAGGAAACAACTTAGGAAATGTCTAAGCATAATACCCATGATGGCTAAGGATTTAACACACTGCACAACCCTTATTTCTCTTCCTTAGTTTTTTAATACACATATTACTATTTTTAGTTCCAAAGTTGTTGATTGTTCTATCTTTAAGCAATACACTTACAACTTGTATTTCTTATTTCATCAGGTATAGATAATGTCTCTGACTCCCAGCTTTAAAGATGAAGACATCAGCATCTCTGTCCTCCCAGTAAGTTCACATCCCTTTTCCCACATTCCCAGGTTCTATTATCTGTGCTGCATCTTATTGATATTCTAATCTGTAATCATAATTAAATCTTTTCCCTTCCTCTTTATTGAGATATAACTGACCTACAGCCCTGTATAAGTTTAAGGTATACAGCATAATGATTTAACTTACATACATTATGAAATGATTATGACAATAAATTTAGTGAATGTGTATCATCTCATATGTTCTGTGCTCAGTAGCTTCAGTTGTGTCTGACTCTTTGCAACCTATGGACTGTAGCCCAGCAGGCTCCTCTGACCATGGGATCCTCCAGGCAAGAATACTGGAGTGGGTTGCCATGCCCTCCTCCAGGGGATCTTCCCGACCCGGGAATTGAACCGGGGTCTCCTGCACTGCAGGCAGGCTCTTTATCATCTGAGCCGCCAGGGAAGCCCTTCCCCATCCGGCTGCCCCTACCTGGTATCTTTCCTTTCGGGGGCTGTTTCTGATGCTCATTTTAACCAGATTTCACCCGGACAGGCAGACGGGGAAGGCAGAGACAGGAGTGGGGTCCAGGAGTGGTCTGGCTCCACCCTGGGGCCATCCCAACACTGCCACTGTGGGCACAGGCAACCTGAGGGACAAGTCACCTCCCCTCTCAGTCGGCCCAGGCTCCCTTAGCTGTTAAGGGGGACTGGCCCCATCGATTCTATTTCCTCACAGAGAAACCTTGAGATTCAAGGTCAAAATGCGACTGCATAAAAGGGAAAGCGCTTGACACACTACACTATATGGCACAGATNTGCATTTCTGAGGTTATTGATATTTCTCCTGGCAATCTTGATTCCAGCTTGTGCTCTTCCAGTCCAGCGTTTCTCATGATGTACTCTGCATGTAAGGTAAATAAGCAGGGTGACAATATACAGCCTTGACATACTCCTTTTCCACATTACATCCTTAGTACTTCTTTTATCTTTTAACTGACAGTTGTAACTTTTGACCACTTTCATCCAATTTCTGCCCTCCTAAACCCCCTGGTAGCCACAAATCTGATCTCTTTTTCTATGAGTTTGTTTGTTTGAATTATAATTGACCTACAACTTTATGTTAGCTCCTAGTGTACAACATATTGATTCAGTATTTCTAT